GAAAATAAAAAGTAGCACAAACACAAATGACTAGCGACATTTTAGACTTGGGACTACTTCATGACAAAGCACAGCTGTAAGCTTCCGCCAAAAGAACAAAGGTTTTTCTTGTTACTGTCAGCAGGTGAATGTGTACTCACATGTACGGTTTAGTTTAGTTTTCACTGATTGTGGTCATTTTCATCTGAAACCATGTTTGCCTGCTTTCTGTGTCACGTCTCTGTAATGTGTGTTTCCTCCTCTTTCTTGTCTCCTCTGATGTGTTGTTGTTCATGCTTAGCTTTTACCACTTTGTCACATTCGAGCCACTAATGATGGCGACCTACCTGGAGGTTTTCCAAATTTCATCGTCATCTGTTCACCTTTCTCTGGGTTGTAGCAGAGCGATATTTAACAGATCCACCTGTGACCCAAACTCGGGGCTCTTTGGCTTCTAAATGTGTGTTTTCTAATACAAAACAGAGAAAACGCTAACACGCTAACATGTAGCTACAGGCTGCATTAGGACAACCCGAAAGGGTTTCAGAGAACAGCAATATGCCACAGGAGATATCTCTGAAGAGGGGGGAACAAGAAAATAATTCTCTTGCTCTCTTCACAGATATCTCCCCAGAAAGTCCGGTCATCTGAAACACCGTTGCCCAAAGTATGACCTCCTCTTTACCTTTTCAACCCCCACCTCCTTTCTCTTTTCCTTTCTATCGGTCCCAGCTCAGCTGTTTTTGGTACCCACCTCTCTCTGCCTGCTGCCATGCATCTCAGGTGGAACAGGGAGAAACACAGAGAATGACTCCACACATGACATAACCACATCTCTGTGCCAAGTCTTTTCTTAGACCTCCTCTTCCACTCCTCCTCCTTTCTTTCTTCTGCATGAGCCTCTGTAGCAAAGATATGGTTAACTGCGGTGGCATGTTTCCTTTGTTTCTCCACTTCCCATGTGGAGCACCTTTGATAATGATGATATTCATGATAATGATGATGATGATGATGATGGGTGCTGTAGGGTGAAGTCCATGTTGTCATGGTAGCTGACTCTGCTCTGCTGAAGGCCAGCACTCTGTAGAAAATAGTTCTTAAGATGTTCACATGTATTAAAAGAAACCTTTATTTCATATTTTAATATTTTCATCTGACCCAAACCAGCTGAGCCTTTCAGAAACAAACCTTCTGTCCCCTCCTCCGTGCTCCAGCCTCCTTTCCTTTGCTGTTTCACTAAACATTTACCAAAAAGCAGTAATATTAAACAATTATACACAAAAGGTTAGATCACAAAGACATTTTCTTGCTGCATGTTTCTACCATGCTTCCAGCACAAATATGACCTTCATGAAAGAAAAATCAGAAGAAAACCTTTTACGCTTCATTTTAACCTCATGGGACCTCGTGTCCTCATGAAAGGACATGGGCTTCTTGTACTGGAAGGTTTGATCCTGTTTCACTCAGACCTGTTCATGTTCAAGGAGACAAGATTTTAAATTTTTTACTGATTGATTTCCTGCTCCTCTACCCTACTGGTTGAAGGTGGAATTACAACTGTTTTAAACGACCCTGTTACAGCCTGCTGTAGCTAGCACTAACATGCTAACATTAATGCGAGCCAACTAAAACTAAAATAAACCACAAAGTGAAAAGATCCACACTGTTGGACAAAACCATTATTAATATTATGACTTATAAGTTCATTAGCAACAAAGCCAGGTCACTATCAGTTCATGATTTTGTATCCTCCTTTAGCTCCCTCAAGCTAGTGTAGGCCGCGCCAATGTTCACTCTGGTTTTAGGTCTTTGCTTTGCCGCCAAAGACATTACTCTCTTACTTTTACTTCCAGGATCCGCCATGATAACAACAGAAAAGCAAACATCTTCTTTTTCTTCTTCTTGTGTTTTTTACGATCAGTGAACTAAAAAGCTAACCGCTAGCGTAATAGCTAACAGCCATAAAGCAATTACAGAGCTTCCCACAGACATCATATACGTAAACACCCTGTGGACTGGCGCTGCCTATTAGAGCTGCCGTACTGGCCAGCCGCCATCTTGGATGGGTCTCCATTCACTCTCAGCGCATTTATTTCTACTGAGGAAGGTTTTTACACACACAAAAAAGAAAAAAAATATGTATATGCTTTTTCACAAAATCAAACACGACATTATGACATTATCAAACATTATGGCATGATAATTTTATTTTAAATATAATAAAATAAAATATATAAAAAATCCCAACAGGTAAGCTAGGAAAGTCAAAAGTAATCCCACGTGATCTGTTTTCAAAAGTACATTGGTTTATACAACCGTAGGCTGTACCATGGACGTAATTTTGGGGGGGACAGGGGGGACATGTCCCCCCCCCCCCCTTTTTTCCAAAATCAAGTTTTGACCCCTGCACTTTTTACCATCCAAAAACAATATTACGCTATATTAAATTGACATTGGTTGAGCTCTAGGACCAAGTGGAAAACAGCCGTTTGTGTTGAAGCCTGTTTCCCATTAGAACATACTGTAAAAATACCCTTTCCCCCCCCCACTTCTAAAGTGAAAATTACGTCCATGGGCTGTACAAAAAATGGGCATAGTTATTCACTCTGCATTGACTCAAGTTGTGTTTGGGAAGTGAGGAACCCATCCAATATGGCGGCAACTCTGTTACGCTCTCCAGCATCCAATGAGGCGTCTAGGTATTAATGTCTATGGAGCCTCCCTTTAGAGCACCTACCTGTTCCACAAAACTGTTAAGTGCAGTATCTGGTCAGCCGAGGGCCGCAGGGTGGTGTCAAATATGAAACTGGTCAAATTTCTAACTCAACAATCACGGTGAGCAATTTTAAAGGTCTTGGTGAATGCTTATAAAACTATTTAGTGTTACTTTAATTATCTCATTTTGAAGTACTCATTGTTTTCTTTGTGTAATAAGGTAATAACCCTAAATTAAAAGGGAATTTTTTTTACCACCAAAATAAAGGTAAAATTTACATCTAATGAAAGCTTGAGTCTCAGGAAGTGAAGTTTGGATAAAAAGGGTAAAAAATAAACAACAGAGACTAAAACAAGAGAATCCCAAACAAACTAAAATCTGCCAAACACTGTTGGAGGACACGTTTGCTACTCTAACAGTTCGTGAATTAAAAAATATTACAAAAAAATCTCTGAAAAGGACAAAAATGTCTTATTGTCCAACGGCCTAAAGCAGGAAGTATCTGGAAAGACTTTCAAATTAAGGGAAAATAAATCAAAGACTTGTGATATTTGCCAAAGGGAGCATTGCTAAGAGCTGACCTTATCCTGACTTTTGCCTCAAGCCTTGTTGCTGTTTTGTTTTAAAACTGTAAACGATGGGCATGTAGAGCTAATCTCTCACAAGTGATGAAGAAAGACGTCATCTTTAGTCTAATGCCTTCTGGTTATATTTTACTTTTATTAAAGCTGGTTTAACTGTAGAAATTCTCTTTGCTGGAACTATTTTCCATTAAGTCCGAACCCATTTGACTTTGGATGAATGCTTCAGTTAACAATACATCATTCTGCTGTAGAATGAACAAGTGTATAATAATATAACCACAGATGAGCTTGTCTTCAAAAGCTGCAGAAACCAACATGGTTTAAGGACAAGCATGTTTTTCTTACATGGACGTAAGAGCACTGGGTTGGAATTAATTCACTGGTTATTTTTGGAAAACACTTTTATACAAATGTAGAAGCTGCCAGTTCGATGTAGAAAGTAGTCTGGGTTGATTCGCTCCTAAAGCTTTCAGACCGCTCTTACCTGCAGAGTTTAACGGATGCAAATTAACACATTCGTGCAGTTTTTTCCATCATTTAGATGTAGATGTTTGTATGGAATTATTTTGTTTCAGCAGGATTGTGAGTGTAATTCAATGCACAAAGATACCTCTCAAAATGGTTAAATGCAAAAAGTCACAATCATCGTTCACTCTCTGGTAATTATTGGCAATATCCTCCTGAAGCGCGTGAAAAAATCTGTGCATGTATGCATGTGTGTGTGTGTGTGTGTGTGTGTGTGTGTGTGTAAACCTGACTTTAAAGATGGGCTGGGTTATTTAAAGTGCCTCACCGACCCTGATATCCTTGTTTCCTGGGTGCTGTGACGATTGATTGACATATAGTTTCTTCTGCGTGGCAGACTCCTCCAGCTCTTTGTTCTGTGTGTGTGTGTGTGTGTGTGTGTGTGTGTGTGTGTGTGTGTGTGTGTGTGTGTGTGTGTGTGTGCATAGATCAGGTGTGCATGAAGGAAGCCTCCAGTCTCGCAGACCTCCAAGGCTGTCCTGTCCCGACTACACAAAGTACAGAAACTGAGTGCTGTGAACGGCTGACATATTAGATTTTCATGTTAACCTGTCAGTGTGTGTGTGTGCGTGTGTGTGTGTGCGCGCGTGTGGATATTATTGCGTGATTATGTCTGATGCAGAGTTACAGAGATTGGCAAGGTCATCACACCGAAAGCGTTGCTGCCCTCGCCCTCTGGCTCGTGCCCTCATTGTTTATTCAGAAGGCTTGTTGTCAGACTGCTCATCCCAGCTGAACATTTGTTTGACCCTGAGATCTTTTCTCTCCTCTCCTTCAGCTCAAAAGCCGTTAGCACACATGCTAATCCTGCTATTTAGCCCAACACTGCGAGTGTTATACGTGCCTAATTTCTGGGCTCTGTTAAAATGTTAAATATTCAGTTTGCTGACTGTGACAACCCCTTTGCAAAACCTCTTCAATGTATTTTTTGGCTTGGTTTGCCATCAGTGCAGTCATGCGTGGATGTGCTGGATTCATTAACACCAGCAGGGGTCGGTTTAGTGGCTAATATTAATGTCAGGCTCGTGTTGCACCTCCACTTTGACACCAGTAAATTGTAGACTCATTTACAGCTGAGCAGGTAATTGACCCCGAGGATGTCCATGCAAGTCTGTGCATGCTGATGGATGTGTGTGTGTGTGTGTGTGTGTGTGTGTGTGTGTGTGTGTGTGTGTTAGTACTATTGCTGTGAGCCTGCTAATGCTACCTGCTTGTTCCTGGCCACTCATGTTTCCTCAGCCTAAGGCCAGTATTACATTTCGTGGTTCGTATAAATAAGGAAGCAGAAAAGATAACTCATCTAATATATTTTTTGTTTCTATTCAAACTCATGTCTTTTTATTTATTAGTTGTTTTGTATGAATATGACCGGCCTTTTTGACCTTCATGCTCTGGTGATTTTATATCCTTTTTTTTTTTTTTGCTCAAATAGCAGCAAGCTAGACCCAGAAAGCTTAGAAGGAATGATTATCATCCATTATATTTGTATTCCATTAATTATTTTTTACTTTATTCAAAACAACAGATCAAAAAGGAACAAAGCAAACCTCTTTTCTTTTGCAAAAGCAATAGTGTTCCTTCACTAAGCTGTTCTGATTTTTTTTGTTGCCTCAACTTTTGTGTTTTGTTCTGTAAAATGAATGCATCTGTCGAAATGACCCGGTAACATCTCTGTTTTTAACCAGAAAGTAAGCAGGAAGAGTCTCAAAGTAAATTAAAAATATTTTTACTGTTGATCTTTTTTAGGCAAAATTGAGTTTAGCTGTTGTAGAGTTACACACTGTTGAGATGTCTTACCTTACAACTGAGCAAGTATATGATGCCAATTTTAGGACACCCTCAGGTCTCAGGAAAATATCATCAGACATCCGATGAAATGGCCTCAGATGTCAGACCACATAGAGGGCAAAGCATAGGTTTCACTCGTAAAAAACCCATCAGACTCTTGAGTACACGTCAGAAAAAAGGCCTCAGAACAAACCGGCGTCAGACAAAAGTGACTAAAGAAAACCGCCATTAAACAAAATGTTTTCTGATGGAGGAGACTTAAGCCTGAGTCATGCTTCTGCGTCAGTGCGGAGACACGCAACGCCATTATCCGTCCTTGCGGGGGCTGCTGGAGAGCCCCGCAAGGACGTACCGAGTCGAGCTCTCTTTTCTAAACATCCGTCCGTCGAGACGCAGAACGCAAGCTTGTGATTGGTCAGGGCACCGCTGTCGTCTACACCGCCGCCATTGCGCCCTCAAAAACATAAAAAGAGCCGAGGATAACTAGCGGCAGACACGGAGAAGCTTGAAGAATACCTCGCGAAAAAACTAAAAATATGAACGTTTAAGTCCCCCGTGACTGGAGGAGTCAAAAGATACGTAGCAAGTGTTTTATTTGTGGACAGAAATGACAGGAAACGTGGGTTTAGAGGTGGCGAGCGCATGAAGAGGTGGAGGAGGATGAGAGACAAATTTGTCCGTGTTAAAAAGTCTCTAATATACAAAAAACAAAACAAGATAAACACACTATCTTGGACTGGATACAGGACAGGATACCACAGAACAGCGTTACGCCCTCTAATGTCCTGGAGGGGAATTGCGTTGCAACACTCTCCAGGAGACGGAGAAGCATGACTCAGGCTTTAGAGAAAAGCATCCTGCAGGTGGTACTGCTGTCTATGTCTTTTTTTTAAAGAACTTAATTGAAATAGTTGCATTTTTTAATCACAAAATTATGTGGAAAATATTGCACAGCTAAGAAGAGAGGAAATGAGAAGCTTGGGTCACAGCCAAATTGTTGTCCAAATACAGAATCAACATAAGACGTGACGTAAGAACATAAGACTTAAAGCAACACTTAATACGTTTCCTGCTTTTTCCTCCTTCTGGTTGAAATCGGAATTACAACTGTCAAATACAATCCTGCCCCAGCCCGCAGTTGCTAATGCTAACAAAAAGCTAATGTTAACATGAACCAACTGACGCTATGTAAAGTCAAAAGATCCACACTGAAGAAGAAACAAATACTGTTACTTACAAGTCCAGATCACCATCAGTTCATGAATTTGCCTCCTTTAGCTCCCTCAAACGACTGTAGGCCACGCCGATGTTCACTCTGATTTCAACACTTTGCTTTGCTTCCAAAGACATAACATTCTTCCTACAAATACCTGTCACCACTGATCCATGAAACTGTTAAGTGCAGCTTCTGGTCAGCAGAGGGCCACAGAGGGCTGTCCAGTGTGAAATTGGTCATGTTTTTGGCTGAAAAACCACTGAAACCAGTTTGAAAGCAATCACTTTAAGTGTTAAAACATCTTTAATGTGGCTTTAATATAATATAACTAAAGCAAACTACAAAGAAGAAGGAGAACTAACGAAACTTACCGTGGTGTTGTTGCCTTTGTCTCACGTTGATGATGTATTTTGACAACAGTTTTTCCATGGCAGAGCTACAGCACCACCTGCAGGATGCTTCCCTCTGAGGCGCTTTAACTACACATTATTTTCCTTATGCCATTTTTCCTGAGGTTGAGATGTCTGAGGTTGTTTTTCATATGGCTGTTTTGTCACAGGTGTGATGGGTTTTTGAATGAAACCTGATGCGTTTTCCTCTGGTCTGACGTCTGAAGCCATTTGATAAATGTCTGACGCTGTTCACGTAGCCACAGTCACAGAACTAGCTGCATCAGCAGTACGAGGGTATCATTTTATTTAGCCTTTTCTCTTTTTACCACAAAATATTTGATTTTTGAGGTTTATGAAATGATTTAATATAGAATCACACAGATTAATTAACAATCAGTGAAGCAAGGGGAAAATGAATGAATTGTGAGGATTTAGCAGCAGGATTAAAGTAATAAGATAATATTATTAGGGATATTGTCTTTTTATGAGTTAATCTACTGGTTTTGCTCAGATGAATCAGCAGAGGGCAGTGATGTCTGAAGAAGTTTAACAATCACAGAATATGTGGCTTACTTATGGCTTTATGTGGAAAGCTGGCTTTTAAATAATTACAGGGACATCAAAACAACACAGGAATGAGATACAATAGCTGAGTTCTTATGTTTGTCTTTAGAAATATATGAAACATTTGAATTTGTACATTTGTCACAATTGATCATCTACAGAGTTGGTCTAAGAAGCTATATTTTACTGGTTAAATGTATTTACATCATCCAGTCTTTACTACTTCCAGTGCAGTTTACTTACTGGTTGTTTCCCAAGTCAAACAACCCAAGGGTATTTTCTGTTTGCTGTAGGTTTACATTTTGTGGGTGGTTATGTGGGGAGGCGGTGATATTTTTAGCTGCAGAGCGGCTTGCTGCTGTAAAACCCTTTATAGGTGCACTGAAAATACCTCCACTTACATCACATCAGAAACGTGCACCGGAATATCTGCAGGACTGCAGATTTCAGGTGATGTTTGTCAAGGAGGCGAAACGGCACCGACCTGTTTTGGCTGTGGCCGTTCAGTCAGACAGAAACGATTCTAACTACAGTGCATTTCGAAGTTGTAACAAAAATGTCTGGCATAGTCGACACCACTTGGCAATTAGCGTGACATGCTGGGTGATTTTTAGTGCTGGTGCATGTGTCAGTGGGTCAGTGATAGCAGTCGCACACTTTCTCCCACCAGCTGGCAGACAGAAAAAGGAAATCTGATCTGTTAAGTGTCTCGGCCAATAACGGCAGTGGGTGCAGAGCCAGGGTTACGGTTGCAGCTGCAGCGAGGGATACGGCAGGGGGGCAGGAGGAGCAGATCTTGGGGCATGTAGGAGGACTCGGGTGTGAAGGGAGCTGACGGAGCTGAGGCAATTGAGGTTTGGACTGAGGCAGATGGCAGGAGCAATGAAGACTGAGGAGGCTGTAGTGTTTAAACCCCAGACACTGAGGGTTCATAAGCAGTTACAGGTGGGGTGTACACTCTTTGCTTCTGGTGAGCCAGTGCTGCATGCTGCTATGCCAGCGGTACGTGTGTGCAACAGGTGTGAGTGCTCACTGCCTGCAGGTGAAAACGCTGAACAGTGATGGAGCAGGTAAGCTTGGATCTGTTGCTGTCAGCATTTAGCCTGAGCAGGTTTTGCGGATCTAGAATCTGCAGACTTAAGGTCACATATTGAACAAGGTTTAAAAAGCTGTGTCTCTTACGGTGTTTTCTGGTGGTTATTTTTTAATTTTTTTGAATGCAAGTTTACGCCCGAAGGTGGATATTTTTGTAGCTTTGCTGTGTGTGTGTATCCTAAAAATGGAGGTTGTGAAATGACGGGGTCACCCAGTCCTTGCTTCAGGGGTGAAAAACGCAAAGCTGTGCCTGTATTGAATAAGGTCGTGACATGCAAAGAGCTGCTAATTTGGGAAAGCATTTTATTGCAGAGTGTATTAATGGTACTGGGCGAGCTCCAGGATGGTCGGCTGTCTTGTATGAGAATAAATGAGGTCCAGTGCTCAGACATGGAGAAGGTCCAGAATCCTCCAATGAGCCCTATTAAAGGGGACATATTATGCATCCTTTAGTGCTGCACTGTGGGTCCCTAAACACCCCAAACATGAAAAAATAAAAATAAAAAAATGGCCATCCGTTTTCTGCCAGTATTTGGTTTTAGGAATCATGTGCCTAAAACAAGCTGTTTCAAGAAGTATCCGTTTGTGATGTCACAAACAGGGAAAGTAGAATAGAACCGTCTCTCATAAGCAAGATATAGCTGCAGCTGGAGGAGCAGCGAATCAACCTCCCAGATATCAGCTTCTCAGCTTGTAGCAGCCTATCATGGGATGGCTGGGTGCAGCTAGCTTCAGCTTGTTTTCTTAAAGTGACAGAGCCCTGAAATGACTAATTCTGGAAGGAACTAAAAATTGTCAAGAATAAAACACCTGAAATGGTTGAATGTGAGAGGAATTTAGTGTTGTAAAATGTTTTTTGTCAAAAAATACAGATAAACTAAATTAGTCATCTGCTACTTGATGTTGCAAAACATGAATTAGTTTCAGACCTGCTGAGCTACATTTTTCTCTAAACTGACACACACATTGACTGCTAGAGCCACTGAAAATTTTATTAATATGAGAAAGAATTCAAGTCAGACACTGTGATCGATACTCATTTATTTTCAAGTAGAATTTGATTTGGACTCGGTGTGTATCACATCGGGACTGACATGGATCCGGGATAAAAATGGTCAAAGCAAAAATACTCACAAGTGCTGATTGATATGTGTCTGCACACACACTCACAAACATACATGCACACAGGCACACACATATAAACATGCACACATGCATACACATGCATGCACACACACACACACACACACACACACACACACACATTTACACAGGTGCACACATGCACACACACATGCATGCAGGCACACACATATAAACATGCACACATGCATACACATGCATGCACACACACACACACATTTACACACGTGCACACATGCACACACACATGCACACAGGCACACACATATAAACATGCACACATGCATACACATGCATGCACACACACATATACACACGTGCACACATGCACACACATGCATGCACGCATAAACACATACAAAGACACACACACACACACACACACACACACACACACACACACACACACACACACACACACACACACACACACACACATCATCATCATCATCATCATCATCATCAGTCTTTCTTGGCACTGACTTCTAGTGGATGGCATTGATTTAGATCTCTCTTCCTCCAAGTCTCACTCAACTTTGTCGTCTGTCTCCCAAAATCACCTCTCGGAGCCGGAGTCGGCTGGGGACGTTTGGCTCCCAGAAGCGTACTTTTCCAGGGCAGCTCAAACTGTCCTGATGACAACTTGTTCCTCTGAATGTAGACTTTTTGAAAGGACATTTTGGCATTGAATTTTAAACAGGCAAGGATTTTTGAAAGAAAACAACAAACAAACCAGAGATGACGTGTCAGACTTTAAAGAGCAAGTCACCCACAAATAAACTTTTTTTTGCTGATAAACTAAATAAACGAGTGTCTAATCGTGCTGCAGACACGTGTCGTCAATAATTTGGCACTTCAGTGCATCTTAGTTAAAATTTAAATATTCTGCCTAAAACTGGCAGTGTTGTGCCGTTGTCAGGTAAAAACTCTGCACTGTATTTGAATTTAAATCTGCCACTGCTATTGGCTAAGAGGTATGCTATGATGTAAACTGGTACATTATGATGTCACAATTCTTCGTGAGCCTGTGTGAGTGTGAATTTGTTAGCGGCTCTGCCCTCTCGGTCTGCTAGGCAACAGCATTTGTTGCATTTTTCAAACAGGAAGTGGGAGTGGAGTAAGAATATGGTAGGGGGTGACTTGCTCTTTAAGCACCACAACTTCATGGGAGGTGGGGGGATTAACAGTGCCTCTTCAGGTCTTGATAAGAAACTGTAAAGTAATGTCTAAGATCTTCGACACCTTATGTTAAACACTCGGCTGCTGCTTTCGGCTGTGAGGTCTCTCTAGGCTGGACCTGTGGGATCCCCATGTGGCCACTTTAGAAAATGCAATTGCTGAAAATAAGTTGAAGACCACTCAGTGATAATATATATTTGAATAATTTTTTATTTTATTTTTTTTATTATCTTTATTTCATTCAATAAAAAAACAACACAACAGATACTAAACAATATTCATAAAAACACAATATATATTTGAATGAAAGGGAGCAGATAGAAGAAAAATCTTATTATTTCTGCCCCCTTTATAAACTTAAATATCAATTTATATTTGTGCAGTCCCTCACCAGTTCTTTCAGTCCCGTAACTGTTCACATTTGTTAATTATTATGTCCACATCAATTGTCCGTTGTCATATCCACTTAACACACATGATTTAATGTGTAGACTTAACACTTTTAGAGTTCTTGACTCTTTCCATTCTCTGTCCAGGCAATTCCACAACTTCACACCATTCACAGATATGCTCATTTCCTTAATTCTTGTTCTAAATTTAGGTTTTTTGAAGATTTCAAATCCCTTCAACGAATAACTGCTATCTCTCTTTTCAAATATATGCTGAATATTCTTTGGCAATGTACATTTATTTGCTTTATACATTATATGCAATATTCTCCAGATGACCAAATCATGAAATTTAATTACTTTATATTTTATAAATAATGGGTTAGATGGAGCTGTACTATGAGTGTTGTCTATAATTCTCATTGCTCTTTTCTGCAAAACAAACAAAGGTTGTGTATACGTTCTATATGCAGTTCCCCAGATTTCTACACAGTAATTTAAGTATGGCAGAATCAGTGCATTGTATAGTAATAACAATCCTTCACTATTTAGTAGAAACTTTACGCTATATAATACTGCAATGGCTTTGGCCACTTTACCTTTTATATAGCCTATATGTGATTTCCAGCTTAGAGCTTCATCAATCATTACTCCCAAAAATTTGATTTCTTTTACCCTTTGAATTTCCATGTTATCTATTTCTAATATTACGTCTATATTTTCTTTGTCATTAAATAGAATGAAATTAGTTTTTTTAAGATTAAGTGTTAATTTATTTATATCAAACCAGTTTTTAACTTTTATCAGTTCAATATTTATCACATGAGTTACTTCATTTATATCAGACCCTGAATAAAACAGTGTTGTATCATCTGCAAACAAAACAGAACCTAGTTTGTCAGACACATTTACCAAATCATTGATATACAGGTTGAACAATTTTGGTCCAAGGACCGACCCTTGTGGCACTCCATAAGCAATATTTCGTAGCTCTGATGTAATGCCATTTATCTGAACATATTGCTTTCTGTTATCTAAATAACTTCTAACCCATTGATGAGCAACCCCTCGTATTCCATACTGATATAATTTTTGCAGTAACCTTGAATGATCGATAACGTCAAAAGCTTTCTTTAAGTCAATAAAAACACTAATAAAGTATTCTCTATTGTCTATCGCTTCAGATATTTTCTCTGTTAAATCCATTATTGCCATTGTTGTTGAATGTTGGGTCCTGAATCCATACTGTTCATTATGTAAAATCATATTCTTTTCAATAAATTTATCCAACCGTGATGCAAAGACTTTTTCTAGTATTTTGGAAAACTGTGGAAGTAGTGACACTGGCCTATAATTTGTGAAATTATGTTTATCACCATTCTTAAACAGTGGAACCACTTTTGCTATTTTCATAGCATCAGGGAAGACTCCAGTAGAAAGTGACAAATTAAATATATAAGTAAAAGGATCAATAACAGATTCTGTTATGGTCTTTACAGTCACCATGTCCAAATCTTCACAATCAGTTGATCGCTTATTTCCACAGTTTTTTACAATTTCTCGTATTTCCTCTTTTTCTACTTTGCCAAGGAAAATACTACTGACATTATTTACTACTGTATTCAAATTGTCTTCAATTAAAGTGTCATGACCCATCAAACTCCTCCCTACATTTACAAAAAAATCATTGAATTCATTAGAGATTTCTTTTACATCATAAATGTCGACATTGTCCTTGACAAAGTAATTTGGTACCTTAGATTTAGTTTTATTTCTGTTCGTCACACTATTTATTATTCCCCATGTAGCCTTTGTATTAGCCTTATTCTTTTCCAATAATTCACCATAATAATCTTTTTTCCTTTTCCTAATTATTGCTATTAATTTATTTTTGTATTTTTTATATCGGTCTTCTGTTACTTTTGTCTGTGATTTAAAAAAATTCCTATACAGCTGGGTTTTTTTTTTTGCACATGCATTTCTTATTCCTTTAGTCATCCATGGTTGATCTACCCTTTTACCACTACTTTTGAATAATTTACAGTTATTATTATATAATTTCATCAATTTTTTCATGAAGGACTTATATGCAGTGTTGACATCCCTTACATATACTTCCTCACAATTCTGCATTTCAAG